CTCGGTTTAGTAGCCGGGTGCCTTTTACTACACATTACGTTTCCAGGTAAATAGATTTCGTCCCATGGGATTGACAATATCCAAGTCTTGAGCTTTGTTCGAGGGTAGTAGGCACCCGACTACTATTTCCTTAGGGTCCATAGAATTCCTCAATTTTTGTAGTTGGGTTTTTGAATTTAAAACTTCTATAGGCGCGTTTTGCACTTTTTGTGGAGAGTGGATTAGATGGAGCCGTCAACGATTTGTTAGCCGATGTGTAACGTTCGGGTAAAGTCGGCTGGTAAGTACGACAAATTTTAATGTTATTACAGATGAATTAAAATATCTCAGAAAATAAAAATTGGGCCTGCATACGGTAAGCAAGGAAATTTTTCAGTATTTTATACTCTCAGTAATGTGCTGTTATTAAAAATTGTATCTTAACGCGTCACCGTGTTAGGGTGGCTAACAGCAAAAAAAAATATTGTCGAAAATCAAATGATAATGAGTTTTATTGAAGATAAAGATTAAAATATCTCATAAAAAGTAATCGGACATGCATACTGTAAGCGAGGGGATTGTTCAGCATTTCATCCTCTCTATGATGGACTATTATTGAACATTGTATCTTAACGCGACGCCATGTTGAGAGACGAAAAGGAAAAAATAGTTTCGAAAACCAAATGATAACTTATTTTATAGAAAATATGAATTAAAATACTTCAGAAAATAAAATTCGGGCTTGCATATTGCAAGCGAGGAAAATTTTCAGCATTTCATCTTTTTTTGTTAGTTATATTCCAATTTTAATTAAATTCTCTTCAAATTCTCAGTTTAAAAGAGTTTAAATTTTTATAATAAATATGTAATTCAGTGAATTATATTTTATAATTAAATTGGAGTTAGTCATTCTGTCAAATGAAAGGCCCACTGAGTTCAGATTGAAGTTATATGGTTTATAAAAGCAGATAGAGTTACTAGATTTTTATTGCCTACCGTCGATATAATAAATAAAGTTGTGTGTTCTTTTAATGGTATTAATGATTTTTTATCTGCAAGCTTTAGCTCCGTTTAAAATACACTTCAAAAATTGTATAACAGCCCAACATTGCTTGAAAATAATTTCTATTCCAACTAGAGCGGTATAGGAAAGTTGTGTGTTGAGCGCACCAGATTTATTAAATATTAATATGAAACTATGTTTTCAAAAATTAAATAAAAGATTAGTTCTATAACGAAAAGAACAACTAGGAAAAAATACCCAGACAGATTACATTTCGACGTACAATATTCATTTTTGCTATAATATTCAGAAGACGATATTCCAGCTTACCCTACTAATTCTCTATAATTTGACGTATTTAAGATGAAAAAGTATAATTTTCTCATATGACAGATAAATTATACTATTACGACCAACTCTCTGAAAAATATTAGAAAGTAGTTTTATAACCCGCTAAATATGTTTAGCATTCCAATCCTCGTGGAAATGTTCACTATGGGTCATATTGACCCACTTTTGTAAAAAGGATCCCAGACATATTAGACTACTTCGTTGCTAATTGACTGAACTTATAATATTGTGACGTTACTAACCTGACCGAACTATCCTCTGATCACTTTCCAATACTAATGACGATGGTTATGAAAACAATATAGAAGAAAAAATAGATCTTTTTTGTTTGCTGGCTTCAATTAATCCTGGATGCACTATTCGTCTAATGTCTATTGTATTTGATTTCTTCATTATTTTTTATTCATAGTAGTACATTGCTTAATTTCGCTCACTACTTGCAACGGCTCCGAAAGAATCAAATGATATTCAGCAACCCTAAATTGTCGGCCTCATGATTGATACGCATCACTTTGATGTTCAAATGATTCTTATTTGGTGGCTAATATTAGCCTGGCTTATCGATCACTGCATTTGTATTGCCGTTGGCTGCCAATGATAAATGTTTCCGATTTATCCATCAATTCAATCTACTCATCGTTTTGAGCATACCTTTCTCATTGTTGCAGGAAAGAAAACGAGATGATTTTGACTGACAATGAATCGCTTTGATATGTAAATCTTGTTTTCATTAATTTTGTCGACGAAAAAAAAACATCAATGCATGAAATAAATGAGTAAAATCAGTTAGTTTCGAGGTTAAGGTTCCGTTTATACTTCATCTACCGAGATTAACATCAGAATCACATGTAATCGATGCATTTTTTTTAAAACTATTTATTCAAGATATTTAGAACTGTATTACAATATAAATACATCAAGTAAATGTGTACACAAGAATATAATCACTTGAAAACTCTTGTTGAGAAACTACACAGGTAGTACTCTAATAGTATGTCTATATAAGGAGATCATGAGGCCATCTTCTTTTCAGACGCCTCGGGGGGTCATCAGGAATCGAAGAGGTAGCAAGGTTAGAAACGAGAGGATTCTGATGGTTATGAAGTTTATTCTGGAAGGAAAGGTATCTGGATATGGACATCGGTGACATATGGAACATTAAGGTCATTATGGATTATTTTATTTGTGACAAAGTAAGGAGCATGGACGATTTTACGAAGGGTTTTGGATTGTAAGGATTAGATACGAGAGGAATTTGATGGTTTAGTGGAGCCTCATAGCTCAACTCCGTAAGTCCAAATATGTCTTATGATAGTCATGTATACTAATGTTTTGTAATTAATAGAAAGTTTAGAGCGTTTGTCTAGTAAGTGTTGGAGAAAGCGGAAACGTCGAGCAGTTTCTTGTAGTTTCATTCTTGTATGAGGGTTCCAAGTGAGACATTTGTCCAGGTAGAGTCCAAGATATCGTATATGTTCAACAGGGATAATTAAATGATGACAGGGATGTTATTAAATGATACTGTAGGACAGGAATAACAAATTTGTTTAATGAAATATACTAGTGAACAATGTTGTTTTTTTATTTTCTGTTTTTTAACGTCGCATATACTCCAGGGTCATTAGCGACAATCTTTCTTCTTAGATATAATTTATTATTTTTATTTACGCTTAAGTATACTTAAGCGTTTTTTTGCAATACCACTGTTTTCTTTGTAAGGTGCTTTGTCATCAATTTGGAGTTCAATTTGTTGTTTCCGGATATTTTCATACTGCAATATGTGTTAAACGAAAAGATTAGCATTTTCACATACCTCACATGTTGGTCGATGTAGGCATAGTTTTAAAATGAAGTTATTAGCATATAACGATTAGCATAGATTTGATAAAGAATTATCTGACTTTGAATTTCAAAAAGGCAGAAAAGTATTTTATCCTGCATTGAGAAATTCCAAGGGTTAGGATCTTTTTGGTTCCAGTCCAGGAGACAGCGACCAAACGACACCTGTTTGGCCTGCCTCACCCATTCTTCAATCTCTATTACTCATGAAAACGATTCAACAAGTGCCCCGAATATGCTAGCAACCTTCTATGTATGTTGAAAACACACGTGTTCTATCACTATTTTTTCTCGTATTTTAAGGGGAAGTTTACACGCGTTTATTAAATGCTGTTGTTGATCTTTATTAATATATTGTAATCGGAATTATCAACAGACTGAAATAAAACACCAAATAACCCCTAGAGTGTTGTTGAATACGATGAAACAATTACCCGCACTACTAAATGGTTGATGGAGAGGTGAAAAACAGCAGTCGGTCCAGCCGTCTTCAACCTATGCCAGTGCAATGGATTTCTCCAAATATATAAATTAAAAATCGTAGCAGATTAAAATTAGGCAATTTATTTAAAATAATTATTTCTGTAATATAAGTCCAATTATGTTTATTTCTCAATTAACGTCACTTTTTAAATACTCAAATAACAAAAATCAAGCTTTTGACGTTAAATGAGAACTTTACTTATTGTGTTCTTTAAAACTTTTTATGAATAATCGAAACGGTTAAAATGTAACTAAAACTTCCCATAAGTATTTCCGTGCAAATTTCAACCCCTTGTTAGATGTTTTAGTATTTTCTTTAGAATGGGATTTCAGATGTCCTTATTGTATTGAACAGTTTTAAATTATATGTCATTCTGAAGCACTTGAAACTAGATTGGAGTAAATAAAGGGAATTCTTCAACCATTTCTTGCGAAGACGTACTTGGTTGAGACTGAGCTTCCGGATCTGAAGTGTTTCTTGTACGCAGCGACGAGTTTTTGTTTGGCTGGTCGAGAGGTAGAGCCGTCTGATCGAGTCATCTATTGAGCACCTTACTGGACATCATTTGGTGATCATACCGCATATCATAAGACAAGAAAAGAAAATACAAAATGAATTAAAAAGAAATAAAATACATCAAACTGTATATATCAAATTTTCTGATGTATACTTGGACAGTATTCGGTGAATAACCAGAGAGATTCCGCTGAAAAATAGGCAAAAACTGAGAGACCAGTTGAGAACACAACCTTCGCATCAGCTGATCCACTACTTGGTTATTAAATCCTGATACAAAACAAAAATATTCTACTGCTATTATTAACAACAGTATTTTTTTATTTTAATAAATCCCATCACTTTTTTGCGTCCTGCCCTTCCTCGCCGTTAAGGCTATACGGGGTTTTCCCGGGCCAGGGGATGTGGACGGTGATTTAAAAACTCCTCCAGGCACCGGGACGCGAACTCGTGTCTATTTTATTATCAAAGTGTTATGTATCAGATTGCCGGGCAACGGCGGTGCAGTGCACAGGCGTTAGCCCATTCGGCCACCCCGCCCACTTCCTAAAATCAACTCTAAAAATGTTCCCCAATAATCTTAATACCCAATCTATCAACAATTTATAATATTTCCGAAGATGATATCTATATATAACATCTCCCTTGTAAAAATTAAAAGCTTTTAAGTATTTCTTTACCAAGATTATCATACTTTACATTACATTCATATTTACTCATGTTATTTCTTTATACATGGATCTCAAATGAGATAAATTACTCCTAATTCACGTAAGTTCATTATAACTAATATAATTCATAGAATGAAATTTTTATTAACTGTTTCAGCACCAAAAGCAGTTCTACAGACCGTTTGGCTAATGTGACACAAACGATATCTCGCTTACTCGATGGATACGATATTAGGCTAAGACCGAATTTCGGAGGTAAGTTATAACTTACGAACTATAGTTTGTTAGAATTTTTAAAAACAACTGAACTAAATGATATAGTTATATTTTATTACAATGTTACATGTTTATTCTCTTTGCGCTGAAGCATTTTGTAGTTTGTCACTGCTATAATTAGTCTGCTAATTATAATTAGTCTAATAGAAAAATATCAGAGGGAAATAAAATATGAAATCACACTGATAAATCATTAAAAACATTTTTTTTTCTGAAAAAAAAACAACACTAAATTATCACATATTACCATTTGTACTATTGCCCAGTTAAATCAGCACAAAAAATAGTTATAATAATTCTTTTTTATATTATTAGGTATGTAGTAAATATAAAAAATCCAAGTTTCCGCTCTTGAAAGCCTTGTGGGTTTGCTAAAATACTTTAAAAACCATAACCATTTTGAACTTACACAAAATATCTCATTTTTTTTTATCTCCAGATGTTTTATTTTTGAGTGTTTTTCGTGATTTTTGGCTGTTTATTTACAAATGACGCTTCATTTTCAAATTTACCTTCAAATATTTTAAGTAAATGATTAATACAAATTAAATTTACTGGTGTTTTTTTATTGCCAAGGCCATTTAATTTTTATTACTCTTTTATATTTTAGGATAGTAATTTTTATTACTATCCATACAATACATCTTTAGTAATAGGCCAATTATGACGAAATTAAACCAAATACTGATTCTCAGTGATCGAAAAACTAACTCAATTAAAAGACGTCAATCCGCCATGTTGGGATTCCATTTTGTTCGGTCAGTCAGTTCGGCCTTCATTTTTTGTGAGAAAACTGGATTTAAAAAAAATAGTTACAAGGAATACTATGTGCAATTTATTAGTATGTGGGGAAGGGAGAGGAGTGAACGGTAGAAGAGCCTGGCTCAACGTGTAACATATCGTAGTTTTCGAAACACCTCCCGATCACCATATAAAGTCCCAGTCAATGTCTCGTTATCTTCAAGTAAACTCTCCGAATTCTCTGGAAAAGGTTCAAAATGGATCACAAAATTCTTCCGTTCAAAATTGATAGTCACTATTGTGAAGAAATCGAAACGGGTAATTTTGATTAGCTTCATATTGAGTTTAGAAAATAATATTATGTACAAAAATGTTATATACATTTAAGCGGTTTAAGATCAAATATAACCATTTCTTATCTGTGTCGATCTAAAAAAAAAAATCAAAATTTTAATGGTGTTTGGAGCACTGAAGCGAACCTACAAGGCTTTCCAGGGCAGAAACTTATATATTCACGGATTTTTATATTCATTACATACCTAACAATATAAAAAAGAAATTTAAATTACCCAACCTTTTGTAAGTTAACATCTAATTTGATTGGGCTGCTAACAGTAACAGTATATCTTATATGTTTGTCTATTATTGTTGATTTTTTACCAATCAACTATAAAAGTACTTCAGATATATATATATATATATATATATATATATATATATATATATATATATATATATATGTTTCATTTTTTTAATTTTCAATTCAATATTACATTTGAATATTAAATATAATTATTACAGTTATTATATAAAAATATTTATTGAAGATAAGTTTCTTTAATAACAAGGATTCGGTGTTCTTTTGTACAAACATAGGAACCATTTCTTATTAAATAGTTAATTTTATTGAATATTTATCAATCCAAGACTATACTTCTTTTATGAACATATACTAATGATGATGGCTTACTAGTAATACATATATATTTTCTTATTTTCTCGAATGTTAAATAATATAGAGATCCTGTGGTTCAATCACTAATTATTCAACTATTGAAACTTTATTGCTCTTGTATTTATGACCTACAAAAGAACAAAATAAGTTAATAAACAATTTTTAAACACTAAAATTGTTAAGAATTAGAATATACATTAACTTTTAAGTTATTATAACTAAATCAAGTATAATGACACTACAAATAAAATTATACTTACAGTTGTTATTAAAAATACAATTATCCATTTTTACAAGATTCTAGTTTTAATAATGTAAATTTTTCCATACGTTTGTATATTAAACTTCAATGTCCTCAAAGTCAAATAAAGTAACATACATATACTCAGGATTAATAACTCTTTTTTTACAGGTGATCCACTCTATGTAGGAATGGATTTAACAATAGCCAGTTTTGACTCCATAAGTGAAGTCAATATGGTGAGTTAAAGACTTATAAATATAATTATAGAATTATATATCTATAAAAATATAGTAATAGCCAGAAAGAGAATTGTTATTTACTAAATAGGGACGGACACCCCGCCCCTGTTTAGTAAATAGGCACACTAACAAGGGGAGATTACGGACATGGGGTAACCGATTTCAATGATACATTTTTTGGTAATTCTAGATCGAAATATATACGACCCATGTCCGAAGTTTCTTGCCAATCCGCCTAATATAATAAATTACAACAACCATAAGATGATTCCATTAAAGTAGGCCAGTAAAGAAACTTCAAATAAATTTTTATCATATAAGAACATTGGTTTGTAGTACTCTCACTGAAACTACACAAGACAATTGCCAAGAATATAGAAGTGTTGATTGATTTTTTTTTTTCTAATTTGTTAGATATGTCAAACATTTTCTTTCTATATTTTCCGAAGTGTCGAAAGGAGTCATTTTTCTCCATCTATCTTTAGTATAACTTGTTAATTTGTCGATTCCTAACATAAAATTATAATATTTTAATTTTTAGGACGTAAGACCTAAGCACGTGATAAGTATCCTATGGGAACTATATCACCTAAGAGGCATTGAGAAAAATTATGCTTTATCTCAAAAACGGAACATTTTGGATCTCTAAAACGGCTCAATAGTTCCTACCGGGTCTTAATGACCGTATCGAAATTTTTAAAAAACACAATATATCCCACTTCGATTCGATTACTTTGAATACATCTGAGTTATGAAATCTTCCATTGACTTTTATTAAAGTTTTTCAAGGAATTTAAGTATTCAAATTAAGATTCGTCACTTCCTTATGAAATTCCTTTCCATTTGATACCTCATTCAAAAAAACTCCATCGCTCCTAAGAACCAGAAAGGGGAGCTATATTACAGTATTATATATAGTGTAAATATCTGTCAGCGATTGGTTCCGTCATCTTAATTTTTCTTTGAGATACAATGTTCACGATTTCCTGAATCTATTTCATTCGATAGTGAATCTTTCATTATGACTTTCTTTGACGAAAAGTTTCGTTTGCTGAGAGAAGTGTAATTATAAAATCAATTGTAACAAGATTTCCAATTGAAAGTTTGAGCAGCTGCTAATTCGTTCCACTTCATCTGCTTTAAAGGAGCCCTTGTTAGCAAAAGAGGCTATGGAAATCTGTTCCTTGATTAAATCAGCACTTTAGAGTTCCGTACTTAAGCAAGATCTTTGAACAACGTTATTTAATGATTAGCGAGCCGCTTAAAGGCCTTGTTACCCTATAATATATAGCCATACCGAGGTTGAGAAGTTCCATGAATAATCAAATGGTACTGGATAATGGTAGCATAAAATAGTTTAAATAAGTTTAGTACTAGAAGATAAACTATTCATAGCTATAAACTTATTGAATTCTTCTAAGTTCTTATTAAATTGAAGAAACTTATTAGTTCAATTTTTAATAGTCTGGGCGTATTATTATACAATGGGTTATTACTTCCAAATAATTAAGCCTAACAAACTATAAATAAGTATCAGAATCATAGTCATATTCTTCTTAATCTATTTCCAATATTATACTGCAGTGTGTGGACCCCGGTTTTTGAGACAAATAATGAGCGGCAGTTTTATATGCCTCCATACAGTGACTTCTTTCCCTCGAGCCCAAACATACCCGAACCCTTGAGACCAATTAGTTCATTCAATTAGTTTATCGGTTCATCTTAAATCAATAATCATTGTCATGATAAAAAATAATAATACATATCAGTCCTTTGGAACTCACAGTTTTAAATTCCAAAAATGTATCATTTTTTTGTTCGATAAATCGTATTTCATTCCGAAATCCTAGATCCCACGGTTGCAATAGGATAACTATCATGTTATTTTATGTTTTCAAAACAAAAAATTAAAAATATAGTGTGAATGTGGTCTTAGCTTATAATTATTCTCTATGTGACAGAATATTATACAACCCAATAAAAAAAATAAAGTGAATTACATTTTTTTTTTTGCTACGATTGCTATCTAAAACAGCGCATATATCGTTTATCGGCTTTCATATTGGCCCATAATTCCTTAATTTTTTCAGACATCTCTTTATTTTACTCATTTGTCCATTTTTTCTCTTCTTTTCCACTACAGCAGCTTATTGTATTTTCAGATTTTTTTCTCTGCCCTGGTATTATTTTTTTATTCAGTATTCATTATTTTTCTGGCATACCAAATCTTGTTATTTTCCCTTTCATTTGACTTCAGCATCCTCCTATATTTCTTAATCTCATCATTTTGTCGAATATCTGTTTGTTAAATCTGTATTAATTCATTATTTTCCTCATTATCTCCTTTTCCTCATTGCCTCCTTTTCCTCATTGCTGTATCCAAATCTTCAGTTCTATCATAACATAGTTCTTTATTGTTTTTTTTTTTAATCCAGTACTCTTCTTTTACTTTTCATAGTCCATGGATACGTTCTGAAATTTTCTTTCAATTTTGTTTCTGACCCGTATAGTATCACCGGTCTCATCACTGTTTCTTATTAGCGGATTTTAGTTTTTTTTTTTAAAGGACACTTTTATTGTATGTATCCTTTGTCAAATGTTCTTATATTTCTTGAAGGGAGCTAGTTGACTGTTCTACATATCATGGGTGATAAATATTCAGGACGAAGTCATTATAACAATTTTTTATTTGTGCCGACGTTTCAACCCAAGCATATGAGTCATCATCAGGGCGTGGTTCGAGCACTGATGGCTTTCGAGACTTAAAAGCTTACAGTGCTTGAATAACGCCCTGATGATGATCCACATTTTTGGGTTGAAACGTCGGCACCAATAAAAAATGTTTATAATGACTGCTTCCCAAATATGTATCACCCTCCAACGTATATTTCCAATATGACTTCCCTATATTGCTGTTTAATATAATGTACTTCGAACATTGTACTTTTTTTAACTCTTATATCATGTTTTTATTTTTTAGAGAGCTCTATCAGACAATTTAAGTATCCCTATAATTAATAACTATACTATTCTAGTATGTTTATAGTTTTTGATAACTTGTAAAACTACTAAAAATTGAGCTGGTTTCTATACTGTTGACCAGTAATTGGTATCCGTACTACTACCTACTAACCATATATTGCTGATCACCAACTCAGAATTATTGTGTGTTTTTGCTGAATAAACCATATCTTTATTTATTCTACATAAATATCGATGTTCTATACATAATTTAAAATATTATTTTCTCCTTGAGGGATAAAAATAATTACATTTTCCAGAAACATCAGGGAAGAAATTATGAAAAACAGGAAAATCTATTTGCGGATAAAAAAAATAAAATAAAATTTACGAATTATACCTATGATTATTAGAAAGGTTTACATTTCTCCTACAAAATAAAAAACAAAGAACTGACTAGACAAACTCCTTTCAAAAACACGATTTACATTAAATTACAACAACCCAAAAAACCAAAGATTTACATGATAATAAAATTACAAGTTAAAATTCTGGGAAATTTTTATGTCCCGCCACAAGATATAAGTTTTTTCTTCAAAAAAGAAATATTTTATAGCTGCTAATCTATGTAAGATAAGAACCCGTCAAGCAAATTAAAACATGTTTCAAAAAACAGTGAAGCCGTGGTCAACATCATATCGTCTTATCCGCAGAGAAGAAATCGTCTTAACTAGACTGAGAATAGGTCATACCAATCTATCCCATTCACATCTCATTAGCAAGCAGCTACCATCGAAATAACACCATCGAACACTGTAATAATACACTTACAGTTAGCCACATTTTTCACGAATGTTATTTTTATATCTAGAATTTAAATGGTTCAGGACTCACACTCCCAATATCAGACATTCTAAAAAATTATGAAGACTCAGTAAAGTTAGTAATACATTTCTTAAAATTGAACAATTTGTTAAACAAAATTAAACACAGGCGTTGATGACCTCGACGTTTTACGCTTTAAAACCCAACTAACAACAACAGCTTTCATGTCTGGCATTAATCTTCCGTCTTTCTTTCTCCTGACTCGAAAAAAAAAACGGTGTAGAGCCGTAGAGGCGAGAAAGGGGAGGACAACAAATAAAAAAATATCGAAATCAGACCATTTTTGGCAGATATACTGCCAATTGTAATTTACGCACACGTTATATATCATTTTGAATAAACTATTGTAATCGACCAATGATAAGAAAATTAGTTCCTTCCTACCATAATACATTGAATTTACTTATTTACATATTCTATTGCCATTTCTTTACTGACCAATATACTAGGCGAATTATTTGGACAGGCCAACCCGTAAATATTCCATTTTTCTTAATTTACAGGATAAAAATATGCGGCTCTTCAGAAACCTGAAAAAATTCAGTCCTTTCGGTTGAAAGTATTAAAGAAAAAAAAGGATATTATACAATATAATGAGAGAATCCAGCAATATTAAACACTGAAAAAAAAGGACATTAACTTTCACAAAAGATGGACTTTTGGCGAAAAGATCTGCTAAACTAATTTGTATTCCACGTGGGACGCTCTTTAAACTGGCAACAAAATCAGCTTATTGCAAAGCCATTTGCTGATTGCAAATTTTATGTATGTCAAACGTTATTTTGTTGTAAATAAATTACAAACAATTTTTAAATCTAGTTTAATTATTTCAGTTAATGCACTATAGTTTTGTAATTTACACTATCTTCATTATACATTATATTATAATATATGTTGCCTCCTCTTACATATCAGCCTTTCAGTTGATAGGACGACTAATTCCAATTTTAACATTTTTGACAATTAATTTTAGTGATATTTCTAGTGGGAAAATTTATACCTTTATTCACAGTTGTGTATTTCAACACTACAATCACATACTCTGGAATCAACTTACTCACTGTCTTTACAGATTTTATTAATTTTCCAACTACAAATATAACTTTACTCAAAAATGTTGAAATTGGAGTTAGTCACTCTATTAACAGAGA